CTCTCTCTCTCTCTCTCTCTTTCTAACCTTATATACAAAACAATGGAAAGTGCTGAAGGAGTGCACAAACGGCGGCTACACTCTGCCCTTGCCGCCTGGAGCTCCAGTGATTTCACGTATGCGGCATCCTGGGGTGCGTACTGCAGCAAGCAGTGGCGAGACGATACCCTAACCCCCCAGGTACCTACTACATAGGGTACTAGAGCCCCTAGGGCCCTATATAGTAGGTACCTGGGGGTTAGGGATAGGAAGAGTAGTTCTGCTGTCGGATGACAGAACGGATACCCAGCATCGGGAGTTATGCTCTTATCGGAGCTTCGCAGCGGCAGCGGCAGCCCTAATCCAACAGAAGCCAGGCCTCTTAATGCAGATTAACACTTCTAGCAATACCGGCACTGGTGATTGACAATATGGGACATGACAATACATGACAACTAAACTTCTGAAAGAGCCAGCGCTAGCCATGCGGTTCATTGTGAATGTGGTCATACTCATGTTCTTACATCCTGGTCAGAGTCGCACAGGAGGTAACCGTTACCATCTGAACATGAATAAATAATGCTCCGGGAAAGTACTATGGCACATAGGGAAGAGATATCACGACATCACAGTCACAGTCACATAGACTGCTGCAAATAGCCTTATTCATCCACATCCAGAACAGCAATATATCTCGAAGCGTGCCAAGCAACAAAAGCAACAATCCCAAGAATGACTAACCGCAATAGTTGCAGGCATTTGTAGATGCTGACTATGAAGTGTGTGTGTGTGTGTGTGTGTGTGTGTGTGTGCTTGAGCGTGGCACTCACAATCAGGTGACGCTTTTAGAAGCGAAACACCTAAACTCGAACTGCACAGGCGGCCTGCTCCCGCTCCCACAAGGCGTCTGCCTCGAGTCCCGAAGAAGTGTCGAGGCCTTTCAGGCAGCTTTGGAACAGCCTGTAGGGCTCGTACTCCGGACATTAGAATGGAACGTGCCTCTTGGGATTAGGGCGCTTGCGACATCTGCTGGGACGGTCTACGAAACCTGCTCTCGATGCCAATGTGTGCACAAGGATGAAACAAACGTGGAGACACAAGGTGCATCCAAGAAACGGGGTGGGAGGCTGTCGTATCGTGGTCTGAGCCGTCTGAGCGGGCACTCCACCTGTGAGTTTGACTCTTGCTCTCCAAGACCTTCTTTAAGTTATTGGAAGGTGTGTGAGGGATCCAAACGATGTCGGCTCCGAAACTTGCCATGAAGGGGTCCCAGTCCAGCGTAGAGTGGCCCTCACTCTGCACTTGGACGTGCTATTGGCGACCAAGCTGCCACGTCGATAAAGGTGAACCGATAGTCCAATTGAGCCATCGCACCGTCCTGTCGTAATGCTCAGGTGTAGACGTGTGTTGCATCCTGGGTTTCTGTACCGCGCCGGTCATCGCCGGTCAAGACGTCTGACTTGATGAGTGTTCTATGCAGCGCATCTGGAGAGAGTCGATCTTTGGGTCCACTTCCGATCATCGGTACTTGGGGTAACGGCAACTACAGTACTGCTTGCACCAATGCCTGCCTGCTTTCATCGATCTTAGCCAAGCAGGCTCAGGCCCGACAGTGTATGGTCGATTCCGCGGTTACCGTGCCTGCTCAACCCAACCTCAACCATCCACATGATCACGACGATCAAGCAGAGATCTTCTCCCGATTGTTGTCTTGATTCGGGTGGCTGACATGATTGACGTTCGAGCCATTTACAGCAGAATTACAAGTTACACAGGGTTTGAATTGGAAGTTGAACAGTTGAGCCAGCAGTACCGCAGTACTGCAATGCTGGCGAAACGCATTGAAAAGCTTAGTGTCGGCGACGGCGCTGTTTCTTGCTGTCTACCATAATTGTTCCTCTTTGCTCCGACGGATGTCAAGACAAATCATACCCGCACCGTCTCTCGCAGTCTTGATCTAACTCTTGGTCTTCTCTGTCTCGTGCAGCTGTCCTTGGCTCTTGAGGCTGTTCGCCTCTGCGCGCTCGGGGGTCTTGAGCCCAAACTGCTGTGGCCTCTGCTCACCGGGGACGGTGGAGTTGGGAGGGGACCTACGGCTTCGACCCTCGGCGAAAAGAGCAGGGTCGGCCTGTGTCCCATGTGGGCTCAATGATCACCAAGTGCTCTTCGAGCGCAGAGCCCTAAGCCCTAAATTCGTACCCACTCTGCAGAGAAGATAAGTTACTGGCAGTAGCGATCGGAAGTGCCGTGGCCCTTCTAGTACAGTATTCTGACCCAAGCTTTACGGCAAGCGCTGCCTATTCCAGGTCCACAGAAGTGGTAGCAGAGCTGCTGGGGCTTCGTCGAAAGTATTGCTAAATGCAGGAACACCCTGCGGAAAGGCATGACCAAGATTCGGCGTCCAGCCACTCCGACCGGGAAGGCATGCGCCACCCCACGGCCAGGCTTCCAAGCTCAGATCTGCACCCCTGAAAGTCTCTGAGACCAAGTTTGCTCAAGCTTGCAAACTGTAGTTAAGTTGTCTTCTGGGGCATTGCTGCCAGGCTCGAAATCTATCCGAGGTCTGCCGTGCGTCTTTTCCTCCGCTGCCATCCAGCTGCTGCCCACAGCTCTGGAGCATTCAAGGCAGCAGGGATAAGGTCTTGTGGGGCTGAGGCTGGAGTTGCTCCGATATAATGGGGATTTCATAATGGGTAAAGTGGTCGATTGGTTCTGCTCCCTCAGATCCATGAAAGAGGCTCACACCGACCAGTAAGGACGGATCGAAGAATTTCAAGATCCCGTAGCGCTGCGAGCCCGGCCGCTTAATCATTCGATTCAGCTCTCGCTTCCTTAAAGTCTATACGCTCTAAGATCTGTTCGCGGAGTTTCACAAAATCAGGGCCCAGGGCTCTCTGCGATGTTGCGGCTTTGCTGGTCGTGCCTCTGACTTCAAAAGTGGTCGCGGCCGCTTCCAGCTGGGCTGAGCAGGTCTGCACAAACAGCAAGTTTGGCTCAGCGTCGCTGCACTGACGCTTTCTGAGAAAGCGCTCAGGTCGTCAGCACACTGTCCATTCAGTGCCGTGCATCAGAACACCTTAGCTGACAGCATCTGACAGCTCTCTAAACAGAACCGAGTTTTGCTCGTAGAAAAAACGGTGGCGGTGCCATCGCTTTACAAGTTGCGGCTCCAAATCTGTGGTGGTGCTGTTAGCGAGTTTCGGAGGACACTGCAGCTTGATGACATCAACATCTTGATACATCAATGGCTGTCGACTACGCTCAGCAATTGCACTAAGTATTTGACAACCCAGCTAACCCCGGTTAACGGCCCAAATGGCCAATCCTTGCATCTGCAAACAATGATATGTTGTATATGGCATATAGAAAACGCATGTGTGCGCATCTATCCTCGTGTATGTTGTCGTACAATTATTGCCTTTGGCAGGGTTGTAAAAAGTACCAAAGCAACCAAAGCCTTGAGGAAATCAGTCTGGCCGCACAGTTTTTGGACTGGTCCGGATTCGGCTTCAGGCACTGTGCAAGCTGCACCAGTTTCAGCAAGGCGTGCATGTACCTTTGCTTTCAGGAGCTTCTCTAAACTCTCGAGGGCAGCAAGATCTGCAGTTCTGCAGTCCCAGGGTTTTCTCGCCGGGCTGCTTCTGCGAGTCCGGATCCATGTCGTAGGTGTTGAAGTTGTCTCCTGAGATTCGATTGGGAAGCATACCAACTTGTCAGTCGTCAACGTATCGGTCCACAAACCAAGTAGATGCTGAGCTGACTACTTTCAAAGGGGACTGGGCAGCTCAATGATCTAGCTGCTATAGTCTAGACCATGTAGCCAACACGGTCTTACAGACTCTGAGCCCAACTTCATGAAACGCATGCCTTGTTGCTGTTGCGTCGGTACTCTCTGGCACCCTTCATGGTGCACGCGGCAACGTGCGCCACGAAAGTGTTGTTCCACGTCTTGTTGCCTGCGCAGCATATCTACAAGGGGCAAAGCATTAAATAAACACATTGCTTCTGAAAGCACAGTGTCAGCAACTTGCGACATCAGTGACTGGAACCACTGCCCCAGATCGCACATGGCGCCCCACTCCGAGCATCAAGGCCAGTTCTGTTCAGGCTGCTCCGGCCGACTGAGGCCACTTTAAAGCCTTGATACTTAGAACTAGGTTTCGGGTATATTGAAGCATCATAACTTTCGGGCAATGTGGAAACATTATTACATTACTAGCTACTAAGCATTTACTCTCGGCCAGCGGTGCATGAGGGTGCATGGGACTAGCTGGAAGCAAAGGCTGGCTGTGGCGGCCTAAGGTGAGCTTCATGTAGCCGGCGCGTGCCGCCAAGTAGTCCAGACTTTGAGAATTCGACGTGATGTCGTCAAGCTGCGCTAAAACCTTCCATGCCACAGCTGACGCTCTGGAGCGCGGCAAAGTCGGTTAAACTAGCTCGGGTACTCGAACGCATCCGAGGCAGACCTTATCGCCTCTCTCGCCCGAGATTCGTGGAATTCAATGCATGACACAGGAGGCGATGCATGCTGGCCGGTTTCGCACAATACATCGCCCAATCGAACTCACAACTTCTCAATGGGCTCCGGCAACTACTCCCATTGCTTCGGCCAAGAAGCGCTTCTCCTTAGCAGGGCAGGAAAGGGACTGGGTGGCAAGACTCAAGGGCCACTCTGTCTGGGAGCAGGACCCCGAAGACACGCGAAAAGCACCCCAGCCAAACAGTATACGCATCGTCTATTGTGCGACACCGGCGAAGTACATCAAACCAGGCAAATGCCCCCTGTCCTCTGCTCCACTTCTGGAACCCTGAAGTCGTCTGCTCTTAAGCCTTATACTACCTCCTTGTTTTCTGGTCGAGCTTCTCCTGCTGCACCCGGCCTTCCATGCCTTTTCGCGTCTCGCGGCCAGTGCGCACCGTCTTTTCAGACCGGTCCTCTGACAGAACCAGAAGTGCAGAGCGACTGGGAGTCTGCGGATCTGGGATCGGATTGACAAGGTTCCAAGATGCTAAGTGGCAGAGGCACACAACATCGGAGAATAGGAGGCATGCTGATGTATGCTGTCGGTGTGAGTTGGTGTAGACTCTAGACCTTCGGAGGTTCCAGGGCAGTCCTTGTGGGGTCCGCGACAAGCTATACCTCTAAAAGCTACAAGATCCAGTCTCCAACGTCGATCAAAAATGTCCAGGAACCCAACTTCCCCGACGCACGAGGTCCCGTTCGCCCCTAGCGTTCATATGCTGTCCTCATACTACGACTGTGCAGTTGTTGTGTCTTCTGTTGAGGAGTCGCGCCGAACTTCGGCACGTCCGCGACCCGATCATTCTGAAGACAGAAGTTGGGGGTTCTCACCCGCGGCCCTTCTGAATGGTTCCGGCGTGGGGTTTAGGGGAAGGCCGATTTGCAACTGCAGCTGAGATTCCAATTCTCTCGGGTTGTGAAGTCTGCGGATGAGGATCTCCTTAATGCGCAAGCTGTGAATAGATGGCAGCCGAATGTAGTGTTCTGACTTTCGTCGCGGCATGGTGTTGCAGTGCACTAAACTTGATGCCGGGTGGACATGTAGAAGTAGCAGCTCAGATCGGCGCCAAGGCTTCCATAGAAGGCTTCAGCAGGGGTTTCAAAGTGGTTACCTGAGAGAGCGGCGAAATGGCATGGTAGTGTTTACTGACCTAGGTCTTTCTGTTCACGTTTTTTCTGGAGTTGTGGAAAGCCCTGTTGTGCCCTATTGCAGGGCCAACTTTTGAGGAGCCCACCGACATCCAACAAAGTTGTGTTGTCTTTCTTTTCGCATGGATTCACTCAAAGCTCGGAGCCTGTTGTCGAAGCCACGGTCGGCAAAACAACGGTACCGACGCCTTATTACACCCAACTGTGCGTCCGCTGCAAGTTTAGCTGAAGGCACTGCCAGGTCAGGGAAACCAGCATAACCGTCTGCTGCCTTCCGCGAACAGGGAGACGTCCCTAGCGCTTGCTGAGTGGAGCGGGTGGGCCGTCGGCAGGATAATTTTACGACCCTTGTGTGTCAGCTATGGAGGCCAGACGTTTATGATAGCTTGGTGTTCCGGTGTCAGAGCGTCAGGTAATGCAAATGTCGCAATACTACCACACGAAAAGAACGGCTTGACTCGCGCAGCACTCAGCCTTAATCGTCTCATTTTAGCCGCACTCCTTTGAAGCCTCCCCTGTGCCTTGCGCTGCCACTCCCCGACATAGTAGCGCACGTAATGCTCTACCCAGGCTGTGGCTGCCTTTGAAGGGCTGAGACCATCGAGGGCTGTCTTACATATTGCATGCGCATGTTATAGCATTCATATATATATATATATACATATACATATGTATGAGCTATATAAGTGTGTGTATATATATATACATATATCAGTATACTATATCATGTTTTATTCCCTATGCTACTTGGCGCTCGCGAGGCATCTTTGCGAAAGAGGTTAGTGTGAGTTCATGCTAAAGCCCGGAGGAAGTGCGATCGACGTAGCTGCACACTATTCTCTGCTGTTGTACCCACACGTGAAAGAACTTAACGCCGAAGGGCTCAATCTTTTTTTCAATTCCCTGGCTGGCCTTGAACTTGTCCCGGGGAAGCAGCTCGGCCGGTGGATTGGCCCAGTCAATGATCTCCTACGAGTACGGAAACGCTTCTCATAGCACGGGTCTACGCTCACGGCCACGTGCTGCCAACCGCGAAAAGTTATACCATCATCGAGCTGTCTTCTGGCATACATGTATCTGCAGTTAGCAGTGCCCAGCCCTAGAAGTACGTAGCGGTTGTGAACCTTGCGGATACGAGACATGCCCAAGTAATGCTCGGAAAGTAGCAAGGACAGTAACATGGATGAAAACCCGTTGCGACCCGTCCCAGATAGCAACACTCCCGACTTTCATCAACATTGGCAATACAGGTATGAAGACTTAGTCATAGTCTAGTATGACAAGACCGCGCGATGCAGCGAGCAGCAGTAGCAAGCAAAGCGCCTAATGGCATGTCACAATTTCATCGCTCACGATCGTTATGACGAGCAGAGGATGGAGGCAAGCATGATGAAGTGTCGGAGACCGGAGCAGGAAACATCAACGATAGCAGCTGCATTCCCAGTGTCTGTTCGTGAAGTAAGCGCACACACACACACACACACACACCCGCGCGCGCGCACGCGGACACGCGCGCGCGCGCGCGCGTGTTAATTCCTTTTGTTGAAAGTGGCAGCAACCTTTGCAACCAGGCGGCCACGCCATCGGGCCTTGCTTGGGATTCGGTGGGGGACAATTCAACCAGTGGAGGGCTATCCAAACAAAAGTTCCCATCCGGTTCTCGGAAGCCCGGGCAGTGGAAAACTCGACAGACTCACAACAAAGAAAGAAGCTGGACAAGTCAGCAACACGAGAAGAGACTCAAGCTACGGTTGAGCAGAGTCCCGGCATGTGGCTGGCAAAAGCCCTGAAACCCCCTTTTCAAACAGCACATACTATACAGCAGCATGTCTGCTGACTAGCCTGCCTTGCATCCAGCCCCCTCAGTATACTCCAGCACTTGTTAGAAGTCTGGCACTTGCACCGCTCCGATATCCACGACCCGATCACGGACCGCAACCGACTTAGACGCCACAAACCGATGCCCTGCCGAATCATCGATCAAAACATACTTAAACCTCTTGCCAAGGTGCCCGAAGTCGCTGTCCGGGGAGTTGTCCAAGTCGCTAGAATTGGGATCAGGCTCTGGTGGCTTTTCCGCCATGCACCTGAGGCTTGGGAGTACAGAACCGACCAGTCATGACAGCTCGCCGACTCTCTGCTGACATAAGAGGCATGTGCCTCACACCATCGGTGCTGCAAACAAGAGAATGCGATAGTGTGCCGACTGCGATTCTGGGCACTTGCCCTGCTTCTCCATGATCTTGCCTTGGCTTCCAAGCACATGGCCTACCAATGTTATCCTGCTGTACCTCTTCTGGAACGGACATGTCACGAAATTAAGATGAGACAAACTGCAGCTTCAAACACGAATCCCTCGCAAGAATGACCACCAAGGAGCAGCATTTGTAGCCCCATCGCTTGGCCTCTGGGTCGTAGAAGGAACCCCAAACGGTGGTGTGCTCACCGATGCACCTCAGAAAGAATTCGCCAATCCCAGGGTCCGTCGTCGCATGAGAAAATCATTGCCCTCTGTTGGGAGATCCTTGTACATTGGTGCCTGAAGGCTAAGGTACGGGCTGGCATCTGCCGGTCTGCGGCTTTAACATGGCGGCTACGTCGAAAAAGGCTGAACAACACTCTACCTAGGGTTAGGGTTTAGGGTTTTTTTTAGCACTCACACTCGACAAAGCAGGCGAGGCTTCAGTACACTCATCGGTCACCATCCGGAGCTCATTGGCTCTAGCACAGGGTTTAGGGTTTACTCTCTCACAACTCGGACAAGCCAGGCGAGGATCCATAGGTGCATAAGTCGGCGTGACACTTCAAGCTGCCCATGCATGCCACTATCCAAAACCCAGAGGTAAAACAAGGGTTTAGGGTTTAGGGTTTAGGGTTTCTACCCTTACCAAAGCCAAGCAGCACATCCTCTTTGTAGAGTGTCGACCTTGGCACAGCAGGTCCCATTCCTAGCTGAAGCAGAAGTGCGACACCCGCTTGCCCATTCAAAGGCCATCAGAGATAACGGAACTGCCGGAAAATGCAGACTTATCCAATTCGCTTTGCTAGGTTGCTCTCAACACATCGGCTTCGATGTTGAAAGCATCCATGCCATCGGAGTTCCGGGATTGGTTCACCCTGAAGCCACCAATCAGCATGGAGAGACTAAAATCGGCTGCGGCCACGGCTCAAAAACGGGTCTCACAAACGCAGCTTGCCATGTTGGCTGCCTGCGTTGAGACTAACAAAAAATCTTGAGCCCGCTTCACGCGCGCCAGCACCGGCCCCAAGCCCATCCAGCCACTGAGAGCGCAAGGAAATTCCAGAGCCCTATCCACTCCACACCATTGGCAGTAGCAACTTCTGCGAGAACTGCCCGTAGCAGAAACAAGGAGCCAGTCAGGACACTCACGGCGAATACCTCCAGGATGAAGGGATGGCATCTGCGCTTCCTTACCCACAGCCCGTGCTTCATGGCGAACGTAGAAAGGACTGCGATGGCTGGAAACCAGAGAAGGTTCAGGGCCACGATATAGCCCATGAAGCAAGCCAGAATACTTGTTGCAGGTGCCCCCACTATCCACAACCCCAATAGGGCTTCGCAAGTAAGGGACGCAACCGGCAGCAAAGGGAGCCAGATATACTGGGCTGGTAAAATGCCGTTCGCCTGCATGAGGTCGATGACCTCAAAGCGGAAGACATCCCTTGTGTGAGCGGAAAATGCGTCCAGGCTGCCGTACCACTCAATGATAGCGGCGTGGATACATTCTCTGTCGAAGTCGTTGCTGCACTTTACACGTTTTACATCAAAGCTTGCAAGGTCCGACGTTAACTGCATATCTTCCTGGTGCTTCTTCCGAGCCGTATACGCAAGGGCCGGAAATAAGAATATGAAAGTACTGCTGGAGACCCCAAGCAGCCTCATGCTGCGGCTCACTCGGTCGTCGGAATCTGCCCAGCTCGCCAAAATTCCGAGTGAAGCCAACTGCACCCAGAAAAACATCATGTAAACTGCAATGTCCGTGGCAATGGGCTTGATGACTATCTTGCCAGCTGGATTCAGCTTGCGATATGCCGCGAGCTCGAAGACACACCAAAGCCTAGGGCACGGCGGGCATGTGTCTGTGTGTGCGCGCGCTTTACGGTGCAATGGCCTACGCACTTTCAGCTGGCTTCCTGCACCTACGGGCCGCCTGAGCGGAAAAGATATATAACTGAAGCGACAAGCCTTGCTCTGAGCGCCCGGCCTCGTCAGGTACGGCGGGCTCCAGAGCACCCGCAACTCCCTAGAAGCCGCAAGGAAAGCTCCGATAGATCTGATCCCTTGCTGCATCATCCGCTTGTCCGACTGGTGAATGCACATGTAGTCGAGGAAGCAGGTATCTGAGCCATGCCAGCTGATGTGTGGATAAACTAGAAGGCCTAGAAAGGCTCCAATAAAGCCAGCCATCATCAACCACCCGTGGAGAGGAATCGAACCTTGAAAACCAGTCACGTCAGCGTGGAAGCTGGTGATAGCTGGCATCGGGCCCACGAGGCAGAGGAGCAGCGCAAGAATTCCGCCCAGTGCCCAGGAGATGAACATGGCAGGCCACCCAAACTGGAGCAGTAACGCCAGCATCTTCAAGCCTCCGGGCGTGAGCCAGGTATGCGATACAAAGATGTCGTAAGTTTGAGTCACCGAAGAGCTTTGCCTTCTTGGCCTCGCTTGCGACCGTTGGCTTTGCGAACCAAATCGCCCCTCCCCATCGCAATGTCTTGCGCAACGACACCCCCCGCATGAGCTGTGGCGAGCTGATGTTCTTTTGCGTCAGGTCTCTTACTCGTGCCAGACCGCTGTCATCATCATGATTGTCAGAGTAGCCCTGGCTCGAGCTTCTGCTGGAGTCTATCCGGATGTGGCTGGGCGAAGCAGGGTGTGGTGTGGAGCCCGCACCTTCAGAATCCTCGTCTCCTTTAGGCTGGTCAGTCTCACAGCTGCCGCTAAGGAGAACCATGGCGGTTCTGTTTTCGCCACTGCAAGAAGAGTCCAGAAGGCAGAACCCCCTCTTCGTTTGCCATCGGTTTACTTATTGATGCTCTACTTCTCGAACCTCTCCGGATTTTGGGGGTGTATGGGGTGTTGACAGGTTTCGTGCCTTGGCACGTACGGTTCAGCCGAACCCCTTTAAACCACTACCTTTTGTTCAGGGTTTAGGCAGCTAGCTCTGTCACCCTACGTACCCTAAGCCGTGAGCCATCCTTCTTCGTGCGGCGAAGACATTCAAGCGGAGCTTCGTGGGAAAGCCAAGCACGGTTTACTTGTCAAAAGGACTTCTGGAGGCATCATGGGGGTGGGGGGGGGGACTACCTATGGTCTCCACTGTAGTTCCTTTTTGGGGATAAAATCCTTATTATATATTTGCTTAAACCAAAAAAAAGGAACTACAATGGAGACTTTAGGTAACTTTGAAATTCTCAGCCCAGCGGCTCCAACAGCCGCTTTCCGGAAGGCGCCGCCTCCGCCGCGGCCGGCGCCGGCTCGGCCGCAGGGGCCTCCATGGCCTCATGCAGCAAACATAGGAATACCTATAGTCTCCATTGTAGTTCCTTTTGGGGGATACCTTATCAACTCGTTAATATATATTTGGTTAAACCCCCCAAAAGGAACTACAATGGAGACTATAGGTAGGGTTTAGGGTGGGAACAGTACAATAGAGCAGAGAACCGCAGAGTCAAGTATAGCATAGCACAGCATAGCACCGCCGAGTCTAGTGTGTATAGCGTAGTAGAGTATAACTCTATAGTGCAGGGGACAGTATAGCATAGGTTATTAAGATATGTTAAGATAGCATATTAGAGGACAGTCTAGTATAGTCCAGTCGAGGCTTTCTCGCTGATCGTTGAAGTCCGGGGGAAAGTCCACTCCTCAACCCAGCTCAACCACACGATGGAAGAACCAGCTTCAGGGTTGCATCGTCCACGGGAAATGGCCTGCCCTTCAGGCCCTTGCAGGAATCGTGCGAGCTCGTGTTCTCACAATCGAAGCTGTAGAAGGCCCGCTCAGAGCGCCCCGGGCAAACTTCAAGAGTGCATGAACTTGTTTGCCCGCACCTTGAAAGCTACACGATTCACAAATATGCCCATCCTTTACAGTAAATCCGCCACAATGGCCTCCCGTGGCATTCTTGCCATCTCCTTTAGACAGGGTAACTCAGGGTTCAGGAGAAGCACCCATAAGTGTCAGCAACTTGATCCGTGGCCCTATGCCTCGCTGCCTGGGTCGAAAACATATTATGAAACGAAGAGGCTATTTAAGATCCTCAGCCGCCGCAGGAAGTCATAAGCTGCCTGTATTCGACGAAGAGATGTCGACCCTCCTAACGGCGGAAGGTTTCTGATCAAAAGCCGTAGCAAGGGAACAGAGTCTGACATGGAAGCATGGAGAAACCGTTGCCGCGGAAGAACCATGACGACTGACTGGGGAAGGACACACACACACACACTGCCCGTATGGTTGCTCCCTGCACCTCAAGCATCAGAGACTGTTGCACGATCCCCTGCCCATTCAACTTCTCAACACAGCGAAGAGGCCGTGTCAGGCTCCGCCATTGCAAAATCCGCTCGTGCCACGGCACAAAAAGGATGCAACGAACCGTGTCTAGCCTGTCAATGGAAGATTCCCGCGGTTTTGCCACTGCGCTTGAAACTACTCTGGGACTGCTTAGATTCGGATCAGCGTTTATCCAATACTGGCAGGTTTTATGTCTGAGTTGAATCTAAGCCAAGTGAGATTCTCGGATGATCTCAAATCTTCTTCAACACTGCAAAGAACTCATCCTGTCCTTCTGCACGACTTCTAGAAACATGGCCCGACGGTCCACAGTGTTATGTGGTGCATTCTCTGTCTTGTGTTTCAAAACTTGGGCCTCTGTACCCGACCGTTGATTGACAGGCAGGTTGCCAGCAAAGCCCTCATGCAACGCAAACGAAGACACACCTAGATACGAAGCAATCAGGTCTCTCGAGCAGGTCATTCCTTGTCCCTGTGCCGCAGTACTGAGTCCACTCTGGATGCCTACGCGTGGGCGACAAAGCCTGACGTCCGGCACATGTTTATGCCGCTTGAGGAATTGCACCTAGTAGGTGCACCAAATCAGAACACACTGGATTTCGTGCCGTTCTGGAAATGTGGAGGCTGTTCTATCTACATGAGTGGTCCCTTGCGGTGTCTGTCTAGACGTTCCATGGTTGAGAACAGCCCCCAAACGCACTGGGCATTTGCAGGAATCAAGCTGCTGGCTGGATCTAGGAAAGCGCGCTCTGAGTCTCCGGAACATCCAGTAAAATCCCAAACCCAAGCCAGATAGAAATCTGCGATCATGCATTATGTCCACTTTGTACACAACTTCCATTTTCATTTTTCTTCGAACGCCGTTTGCGGATCCGTCTCAGGGCACCGGCTTGGAGCAAATCCTTTTAGAAACTTACACGGCCCGGCCTGGCACAGAATCCGCAAACAGGACGGTTAGTGCTAATTGGGGCAAACCCCCATGTGGCCTCACGAGATGACTTTGTGACGATCATCTGCTTTTGCCTCCGAGTCAAAGGCATACATAAATCCAGCTGCGACGTGGGCTGCAGGACTATCCTGGTTGCTCTCGCAAACGCAGCAGGCACGCAAGCATAACCTTTTGGAGCCACGACTGATGCTCAGCTTCATGCGTCTTGGCTCAACACGCCACAAACTTCCTAGCCCTGCGCTGGGCCGTCACGTCGAGCCGAGGTGAAACGAAACGGTGCCCGAGCTTCTGGAGGACCCCACCACCTCATGCCAGGGCACTAACCTTGAAACTAAATTGGATGGCGGTGGCCACATCGGTGAAGGCCCTGGCACGAAGCTGAAGAACACGACCACGCCAAAGGCGAAGATGCCTGGGAGATTTTGCAAATCATAGGCGGTTGGAAAGCATGAAGTGGACTCTTGGTAAATGGCAGGGACCCTAGGCCCTAGGATGGCAAGCTTGCTGCTGGGTTTTTTCGCTTCGCGGCTTCTTCGCAAGAGCCCTAAGGACACTGTGGTCGTCTATGCCCGGACCCTAACTTGACCGACTCTGCCTTTCCCGAAGCTCGAAGGTCCCAGAGACCCCTAGGAAAAGCGAGAACATCGGCAAGCACTGATCCAAGTCGTTCACCGATGATGTAGCTCCGTCCCGCCTCGTCTTTCTCCCTTAGCACCACACACGAAACCAGACCACCCGGCCCCAGTTCAGGACTTGAACACGGGCTGTTCAGGCATAATCCGATCATCCTCATTGCAGGCTCTGCCCCTTTGCCCAAGGCCGCCACACATTGGGGAGGTTGAACATGCCCATGAAGCCGGCTTCCGTGTTGGCCGGCCTCAGTACACAAACTGCATCAGGGCCTGTCAGGGGTTTCGTTGCGGAATTGAAGGGGCATGAAGTTTCTGAAAGGAGCAGAGGTCGAAGCCTTGGTGTACGACCATGCTATTAAACTCGTTCCGCTTTCTGCATGACTGGGCCGCCCCCGTGAGTCCAAAGTCAGAACCACCTGCACCCCGTTCTGCCGCCAAAACTCGCCGCCTCCGAACCCTACCGTGAAATCATAAAACACAGAGTGCACGAACGGCAACACGGCAGATAATTAGATTAAAATGAGTGTGCCAGGAACACTGCCACGGATCTGTCGCCTCCGTTGCAGAAGGGCTAAGCGCCGGACTCCCATCTCCAAGGCTTCAACCTGTCTGACGCGGCTGCTGGAAACAGCTGCAACTCATGCAAAACAGCGGTGACATCCGGCATCTGCAAACAAACAGAATGGTGATGAATGATGTGTGCGGCGCGCGTGTTTGTCGTGTACGTGTGGGTGAGTGAGTGCGTGCGTGCGTGTGCTAGTGAGTGAGGGAGCGAGCGCGCGAGTGTCCTCCAAGTGTGTGTTGTTCGTTGAGGGGGGGCAGTCCTGCGCTTGTGCTAGCTGAAAGATATCTTGGGAAGCAGCGGCAGGTAACGCTTAAAAAGGAAGGAACCATCACCACGAAGGAACATCTTCCGCCCGAGCTCACGGCTGCCGCCAAGGGGGCAGCAGCGACTCGTCCTTCGGGCGCAAGTCGAGGATTGCAAATAGTATTCTATGACTATGGAACAGGGCTCTGGGGCATAATAGTACAAGTACACAGGGTCTATTATAAAAGTGCAAGAGTACGGAGATCGTGGACAACTAAGGTTCCTCACGAATTCTGCAGCTACTGTGTCCTGGTGTCTGGGACTCAAGGTCAATCGCATGCAGGATACAACGCGCAGCTGGTCCTCCTCGGCCTCGTCTTCGTCTTCGTCGTATTCCAGCAGCTCTTCTTCAACAGTCTCGGCGAGGAGTGATGCGAACGGCTCCAACACGTCTGCAATTGCAATGTTCTGCAATTCTGATCTTCTGTTTTTTCATTGTGGACAACATGACATGATCCCACTACCCAGAGCAACTTTCACCACGCACCGGTTCATAAGATGAATATATGAGAAAGTCGGAAAGTCTAAAACCTGTACTTGGTGAAAAAAAGGTCCGCTGGTGAGTCCACACTGCTGAATGCAGGACATCGCAGGTCACGCAATGCCAGACTCTTGAGGGGCGTGCTTTCATGGCCTTGCTTGTGGCAGTCACCTGGCTCTTTGAAAGCGGCACATAAGAAAGGATACTGGACAACGCTGCCATGTGCCAGAAAAACTAGAACCGAGCCTTACACACGACGGACTATAGGGGGATACACGAGCTGCAGTGGCTGCTGGACGAGGTCGGCCTGGAACCGTCTGGCTGCGCTTGGCAGTGGTATGGCCACTGTTGGCGCAATGTGCCTCGGCCGTTTGTGTGTCATGGTGATGCCGTAACAACACCGATCACTACGCTCAGTGTGCCCAGGAGAGCTTCAAATGCATAAGGCTTTGCACACCCTTATACTTCTGGCATTCGAGAAGACTCGGGGATGAACAACACACTAAGACTTGCCGCAAGTCACAACTGTATTATGCCGGCTCTCGCTCTCATGTCAGCCTGCCCATGCAGCGTTTCAAATGTAATGACGAAGACGTGAACACACCTCCACGAATGCGATGGATGATCCGCGTTCACATTCCGTGCTCCACTCTGAGGAAAATCTGGGCTTCCAGCCCGAAGCGCGGCAGGCAGCCTACTGCCTTCGGCGACGGGCATCAAGCGTTATAAATTATCATTCAGGCGCTTAAGGCTCCTCTCGGCGAAAGCCTGACGACTCGAAGATTCGCATGTGCAAAGATAGTATAAACGGCATTCATCATTAGAAGAATTGGGGGGGTACATCATGATACAATTAGAAAGAGGCTGCAAGAGGTTACTGTTACCAAATTAGAAGACCTGTTTAAATACGCTGTGTGGCTTGAGATTTCAGGTTTCGGGTCCTGGTGTCAGCACAGCTCCGGAGCCTTGGCATCGCGCGGCCTCCCGAGTCTAAGGAGGAGACCTTGGGTTGGATTCATAGAGGATGCTTATTTTTGTAGATTTAGCATTGGGGTTTCAGGGCTCTTTCGCTTAAAGGCTTTAGGGTCTTGGTGTTTGAGGGGTGCGGGGTTTCGGCGCTCATACGGTCTTCGGGTTGGCAGACAAACGGATTCCACAGTGCTCATATCGAGTAGTTGAAAAACTCACAAGTCCATCTTTAGAGCTGCGGGCTCAATCTCTCGCAGCTCGACACTGCCGGGCAAAGATGTTCAACAGCTGGCTTTGGATGTTTCGACAGGAAAGTTTACAAATTTGAGGTCCCGTCTCAGGCTCGCTTTGAAAACAGGTTCACTACGCGTTCCTGGCAATCCTAAGGGAGACGAAGTCGAGAACAGCCCCAGAAGTTGCACAGCTGCCTTGAAGCAGTGGGAGCTACCCTCAGACGTCAGAATGGGTTCAAGCGGATCTTCTACAAAAGTTACAGCGAATTTGTAGAGTAAAGATCGTGGAAAAACGCACATTTTCATGGAGGGATAGCCAGGCGCTGCCAGAATGTGCGTGCGCATATATGCTGACGAAATGATGCGAAATGGAGCCAAGGTTCCGTGACAGTGTCACAGTTTCCTTCAGGCCTCTCAATTTTTTTTGCTACTGTTACTAGAAACACCGAGATGCGAGCCCCACTCACGTCCTCATGTGTGACCGGGCTCTTCTGGAAGCTTTCGTTGGAGATGTCACGGCATCGTCTTCTTGGGCGTCTGTTCTGTCACAGTTCTGCTTCTGGGATCTAGGCCTGTGAAAAGAACCTTCGTTCTCAAGAACACCCTAACAAAGATGAAGCTGGATCGTTGCGTAGTGCCCCCCTCCCACGGCTCTCTTTGAATCACATCGTGCCCCTCATCTTGCACTGTTCCCTGCAGGTAACTTAGCCCTACAACACCGCATCCTCCGGCCAAACAACTACACTGCAAGAAACGGATCAGCGCTGAGACCAGTACAAGGCTGCATCCTGATCCTCGCTGCCATTGTGGCCGCAAGTGCGTGCGCCCTACCCGCCCTGTTTACGAAAATGTCCGACTTTATCTCGTCGGCGTCTTCGTCATAACGACGTGACAGGGATGCCCGGAGCTCATGCTGAAATGCAGGTCGTTGCATGTGCTTGAGAAATACTGTGTGCTTGTGACCTGCTGCGTCTTTCCGATGCGGCAATCAACGGCCACCGCATGACCACCGGACCACCGGATGATGATCCGCAGAACTGGCAAGGTTCATGCGATTCGACGTGCCTTCCCAAATTGCGTTCCCATGGCCTTACCGGTCGACTGCCCCTCTTTTCGTCGAGATGCTCGAGAAGTCGCGGATATCCAGCCAGGTCTGTTGTCTTTAGATGTGTGATACCGTTCAAACGTCTAGCTTTAGTCCCAGACCCAGGATTGGTGCATGCATCGCAGCTCTCGCCCAGGGACTACCTACCAGTGCTTATCAAGACTTTTCAGAAACAGCAGCTGTATTCATGTGTATCACTTGTCCCAGGCTGAAAGGAAGCTGACGAAACACGGCTGCGGCCAGCAGGTCACATCCCCGGCTGTAAAAAAAAACCTCGCTTCTGGCGCAAGGCAGGGCCCAACGGTTGGGACCGGGCCGGAGAGACAGAGAGTTTTTTGGTGGCAGAAAGAGCACGTGCAAAATCTGCAAGCTCTGAATTCTCGACGAATTCCCACGTGCACACAGGTGGCGCTGCGCGACGTGCAAAACTTACGAATTCTGCTGAGGCAGGCTCGCAGCGCTAAGAAAAGATGGGGCTGGTTCAGCTGGCCTGCTTGGATCCCGCATGATAGTCTAATAGGCCATCAACATAAGTTCGGCGGCCTCTCTCTAATCCATATGCCTGCATGCTGGACACCCCCCACCTACTGTACATCGACTTCTGATCGCTCAGACGTGGCCCGGTCGGGGCAAAAGGGTCCGAGTCCAAGCTTTGCTAGAATGCCAGCTACTTTGGAGATTCCTGCAAATCTCTGGCTTATTCTGGCTTGCATCTGGCACCCTCCAGGCTTTGATTGCACTCTGAACCTGAAGCCGACTCAGTCCTCGGGCTCTAGGAAGCCTGGCGGCTGTGGGGCACTCTCAGAGGAGCCCTGTGTCTGCTGGCTGCCCTGCACCTTGGCTTGGGAGGCTGCAGGCGTTGGGATGCGTCTGGGCTCCACTGGAGGGTGTTGGAGCTTTCTTGCAAAGGCAAGATTCCACAATCAGGCGCAAGGACCGGCCTGCACGGGTTCAAGCGTCCTTGTTTGCAGTAGCGAATCATCCAAAGCATTCCAGGTCTAGCTACTTTGCTTGTCAGGAAGGGTTGATAGTTGCAGGCCCATGAGAAAGATGTACATAAGGGTTGCTGCACAAAGCCTCTGGTGCCGAAACTGTAGAAAGCCTATAGCTCCGAAAGCCAGGTGCTCAACAAAGGCACTCGTTTGGCCACGCTGGAAGGGGTGCCTGCCCTCAGCTGCAGGCGCCTCCTGCCGGGATAAGGACTGCCCTTTGAGCCCTGAGTCCTCCAGTGATTGTTGGGCCTGGGAGCCTGATTCCTCAGTTTAGGGTTTAGGGTAGTACATGAAGTTCTCTCTAGAGATCCCCTTAGCCTTAGCTTGCTTCTCTTTGCGCGCCTTGCTTCTGCAATAATGCCCCGAGTGACAGCGACGCGCACGCAGTAGCGCCTGACCACCTTGCAGGGAGCTTTGCAAGGCGAAGCGTGAAGAAGATCCTTGACTCTTCGTTTCCTTTTCTTTGTCCTGTCACTGCCAGTCACTGCTTTGATCATCTCTGCGAGTACCACACTCATTTTCGCGACTGCACCTGTTGTACTGTGATGATTGCTGCTGGTGGCGCCAGCAAGTGTCGTCACTATTTGCACAGCGTAGCAGCAAAAGCAGCTGCCTGTGCCACCGCAATCTTCATGTCGCAGTTTCTAAGTTGCACTCGTGCGCCCAGCTCTTGCAAGGTGGAAACCACTCAGTGATTTTAAGACTCGGCCGTTTGCAGCAAAGGCGACAAGTCGAACTGTCGACGGTTGATGGACGCCATCGTTTAAGTGCAGCATCTGCGGAATGAAAAAAGCAAACAGAAACAACGCGCACACACATATACACAAAAACACAAACACTTCAACCCACTGGGCGCTTTGCCAACACCCATGTGGCAGCATTGTAGCAGCGTTTGGAGTTTCGCAAGATGCTTCGACCAGGAAGCAAGGCCGGCAGAAAGCAAACTGAATCAGCAGCAGCAGCAGCAGCAGCAACAGCAATGGCAAACAGCAACAGCAAGCCAAATAACAAGTCATGACAACATGCACACGACACTAGAAATAGGAATTGTAAATACGGTCGAAACCTTCATCCGACATTTTTCTATATTCGATGTCCTTCAAAAATCCTTACGAAAGGAACGCGGAACAGTCGACTCAAACCAATTTTAAAAGAAAAACGTCGCAAAATCTCCAAAGCCTTCTTCGTTGAACGAGTCAGGCGCGCTATCCCAGCAGGAGAGCTGAAATAAAAGCTTCAGAAGTGAGCACGAATACTGAATACTCATCCGTGGCTTAGTGTCGCTTTCGTCGGATTCAAAGACCGACGCACGAGGCAGTTTTGCATGCGTGAATGCATATACATACGACACAACACTTGGTAGCACGAGACCTTGCAACCATCTTCTTCCACAGGGCTTGGGGGATTGTCGAGATCCCCCGGCCTCCAGGCCCCAATAACATTTCGTGGTTTCATTCTCTCTCTCTCTCTCTCTCTCTAAGATCATACTATATATGATAAATCTAATATACCATACTGTAATATACGACAGTCAATATATAAGGTGTACAAAATACGCAAGAAAAACACGTAATATACTACATACATACACACATACATACATACATACATACATACATACATACATACATACATACATACACACATACACACACACATACATA